TTTTTTTTAATTCAGTTTTTATTTATCCTAATTAATTATAAATTAAAATTTAATATTTTAAAAATAAATTATCAATATATAAATATAATATTTATTATATATAATTTATCATAAATTTTAGTTATATGTAATAAACATTTAATCACATGAGGAAAAATGTAGATATCAAATGAAGTTATTCCTTTATTATAATAAGATATAGATAATATACTAAACAATTATTTTTTTAGTTTATATATGGGACTTTTTTTTCTTTTTGTTTTTACATTAACATTAACCTATTTGTGTAAATGAAAAATCAAAATAAAATATTTTGCAACCATTTTCTTTTTTGTCGACACAAAGGAAATTTAATACTTGGTGATGAAATGAAGTGCAAAAGTAAAAAAGCAAAACGACTCGAGTCTTATTTGATATACTTAACTGAATCATATTATTCCTTTACTCAAATAATACAAGAATTTCCAAATTAACATGGAGGGAGGAAAACAATAATATGACACACATATACATAGATGCTAATTGAAACACAAATATCAACTTCTGAAATTCGTGAAACTACGACTAGGATCGACAAATACTTGGCTATAATTTTTCAATCATTTTCTAATAAAAATCAAAGTTGTACTTTGATAATCATGTATATTAATAACTTTTGAATACAATTTCATGAGTTTAAAGCATACCTAGAAGTTTTGTTGACATCAAATCTTTCTCTTGAGTTTGAGTACCTTTGACCAAAACCCATCTTTCTTCCTTATTCCACTCACATCCCTCTCTCTCTCTCTCGTTCTGTTTTTGGTAGCGAACGCCAGCGACTTGCTCTTCCTCAAGTTCAAGCCCACCATGCAGGAGGCGGATTCCGCCGCATGCGAAGCGTTCCGCCGCATGCGTCTCCGCTGAGTAGTCGAAGGAACGCGACACGCTGAGAAAGGTTCAGGCGAAGAAGGAGAATAATGATTGGGAGAAAAACAGTGAGGATCGATGATAGGGTTCGTGTTGTGTAGCTGCGAAAGCTTTTCCCTCAAGCAAGAGGAACAAACACCCGGTGATTGCTTATCGTTTGGGTGCTCCTTGCACCTTCCAAACCCTAATTCGCACCTTTTCATCATTTTTGGAATTCGATGAGAAATTAGTTACTTACGTTACGTTCTTCTTGCGCGTACTGTTATTTATAAGCGAAGTTCGGTGGTCAAAGAGGCACTGCTTTTGGCAACACATACCACGTGCACGTATGTGTACCGCGAAACTTCTTGCTTTCTCACGTTGTTGGTCTTAAGTTTATTATTATAAGGAAACTATATGTATTGACAATTATTGTTGTTGGTATTAATTATTTAATGTGTGAGAAATAAGAACGAGATTGTTGTGCTTGACTGCGTTCAATGTTATCCATCTTCTGGATGTTGGCTACTAAGAGCCAATTTCTTGATACAATATGTGATTGAAAATGACGTGCAAACAGACAATAATCTATGTGGAAATTTTAGTAGCAGTCTTTTACGTGAAGGTGATCTTTTGTTATGTTAATTTTTACGAGAGAATTCTATTTACAATAACATTCAAAAATGTGATTTATTTATTTTAATTTGAGAAAAATTACGTACATGTGTTTAGGTATATCAAAATTTTGAAAGATAACTCCACAAATTTCAATGCTATTAAATGGTTGTAGGTGATTATTCATATATAGAGGATATGAGAAATTATTAAATTTTTTTACTTTTAAGGTGTATAATAGTCTAATAAAAAATGAAAAAAAAATTATATATTTTTGTATCTCCTTTATAATAGATATAAATATTAATTTTAAAAAAAATTGACTCAAAATTTTAAATTAGAAACTGTAGTTATAAACGTGTTGCTCGATAGAATAACAATAAAAATCCAACTATTAATATCAAAACTTATATATTAAACATTGTACTCTTTCGATTTCTAATTGATCAACTAAGGCCAAGCAAAGACTTTTCATGTCACAAACACTCAAGCCTAGAGGGTTATGTACTTTCCAAATCTCCAATTGATCAAACAAGCCAAGCAAAGACTTTTCGTGCCAAAAACACTCGAGTCTGGAGGACTATGTACCTGGCTTTAAGGTCTCCAATTATTGACCAAACAACTCTCTATTTAACTAAGTATGTCTCCAGTTGATCAAATAAGTCGAACAGAGGTCTCTCACGCTATTAACAAACGAGTATGAAGGGTCTGTACCCTCCAAATCATCATCTGATCGAGAAGGCCATATTTTAGGGTTACTCACGGATTTCTTACTGAGTTAACTCCTTTAGAATTACTCAAGGTTGTGTTTCATGCGATTCTCACACAATTTCAAATACAATTATAAATGTATATCATAGACTTATTATAGAGATAATATCCATGCATATTTTAAGGGATTGAAATTGGAGGAAAAAAAAATTGTGTTCTTAATATGACAGTCATATATATATATATATATA